TCAACAATTTTTGTATTGGTATAGATCCGTAGATGCCGTTATAGTATGTTTCAAAGCAACCAATAGTAGGCACTTTTCACCAATATATCAATGCTATTTATCCAAACATGATTTTTCAATCTTTCTTCAAAACTTCCCACACTATTCATAATTATTCAACACACCCTTATCAACATAAAATTGCAGCATATAATAGTATGATACACAGGCTAGTGAATGTCCCTCTTTCAGAAGTAAATTTCGATATAGAACTCAATATCATGAAACAGATTGCAGTCAACAACGAATAGAACGTGATTTTGATAGACAGAAAAATTTCTGAAGAACTCTATAATAAGGGTATTCAAGAAGTTTATCCCACAATCAAAAATAATAATCAAAATTGAAGAACTTCAACTAATTTCGAATGATCTATTGAAAAATTAGCTTCATTTCTACATAAACAGGACTTCGAAGTAGCATATAAAACAAATAACACGTTGCGAAGGTCCATCAAGAATGATAAAGACAAAACTTCTAAATTCGTAAAATCAGGGGTATACAAACTCAACTGTGGATCTTGCTCTAATGTGAATATCGGTCAGACACGTCGTACGTTCAATCAGCGATTCATGAACATGAGATGAATTTTTTGAAGAAGAAAACAAATTCAACATACGTCAACCATATATTGAAAGGGAAACATAGTTCTGATGATAATCCCGAAATTCTACACATAGAGAATAGAGGAATAAAACTCCAATCATTTTGAATCATTAGCAATCAACAAACCAAACAATTCTAACATTCTTTCTCGGCAAGTTGACTGGAAACCGTTACGAGTTGGAGTGTGGCCTAGTAGCACTAGAAACCCTGTTAGGTTGGACACTGATAGGGAAACTTCAAGACGAAAACAATGAAAAGACCAAACCATCTATGGTGGTGTCGATGTTTTCGAAAAACGACTCGATTTCTGATTTATGGAATCTGGATGTGCTTGGTATATCTGATCCTGCAGAGAAGAAAACACAGCAAGAAACCGAAGAATTTGTCATGAATCAATTTTTATATACGCTCACTAGAGAAAATGATGGCAGATATGAAGTTCATTTGTCTTGGATCGAAGATCACCCTCCCTTGCCAAGTAACTATGGGATAGCCAGAAAACGACTCGATTCCTTGGTGAAGAAATTCAATACCGATGGTTATTATGACCGATATGACCAGGTTTTCAGAGAATGGATGAATGAGGGCATCATAGAAGAAGTTCCTGAGTCAGATTTGATGAAAGAGGGACATTATTTACCTCACCGTCATGTTGTGAATGAAAACAGAGCAACTACCAAGATACGGCCTGTTTTTGATGCTTCTTCGAGAGAGAAAAATCAGCCATCTCTGAACCAGTGTCTAGAAAAAGGCATAAAGGACCCCGCACTTTTAGTACGTAAAATGGTTCTCGGTGAAATTTCCTGAATTTTCAGTATGTTGTGGAATTCGATGAACTGACTGAACCTGCAGAATCGTAAAGTTCTTTGATGAACAGATTCTGAGATACAGGGCGTTGAAGTTACAAATCGGTATTTTTCATTTAATTATTTCCTCGAAATTCAAAGATGCCAAGTACAATTTTCTTCGCTCATATCATTAACGAACCTCCATATTACTCAACATAATTCAGATGGTTCAGATGATGTAATTGTTTACAGAGTGAAACATATAAACATTTCAGTGATGTCTGAAAATTCGATGTAATAATGAAATATCGGAAAAATAATTTAGGCATGCAATATACTATTCTCATTCCATCATGAATCACAATTCATACATTTCATTCAGGGTGATTTGAAAAATTGGTGACACCTAAGACCGATTTATTCATACACATCCTGTATATTCGAGTGAATTGTTCACCTCCCAAGATAGCTGATACCGTATGAACATGATTTCGTTGAGATATATAGGGTGATCATGAAGATTTTCGATGATGAAAATGACAAAAAATCGTGTTTTTTGAAATTACCCTGTTATTCATGATTAACTCGGTGAAATTCCCTAATTATTTTTCAATATATTCATCATCCGCTCCTCAACGCTGTCTTGAAAATTCAGTTTCCTATCATGACGGGTGTCATAGTTATTAATTCAGGAACTTACCATTTGCATGAAGAGTTGAAGAGACTTGTTCACTTACATTCGCATAGTGGCCGATATTTTTCACAAATAGTGAAACGTGAGAATGTGGAGACGAAAATAAGTTCAGTATTCATATACAGGGTGAACATTAGAAATTCAATAACAATAGCAGATATATGAATTTAATAATATTAATATAATGTACAGATAGTTAGGCGAATTTCGTTGGTATACAAGCTCTGAAAGCAAAATGAAAAACGAACAATACCTAGAAGATGGGAGAATGATTCGGTCTTTCACGCTTCCATTTCTAATAGGGAGAGTTGAATCCTGGAATCGAAATTCGCCTAAGAGACGGATGAAGAGACAATTGAATCTGAAAGAGGAAAAGATATCATATCCACTAATTTATCTACGACTACCGATTCTTCTTGGTATCACGAGAGAATTTCGAAATACGGGAAAATTATCCGAGTACTTGGTTGGATCAGAAGATTCATTGGAAATTGTCGTCACAAGGATGCCAGGATAACAGATGATGAATCAGCTTTGGTGGAAGTAGAGCAGGCAAAAAAATGTATCTTGAAATTTATGCAGAATGAAGCATTCAATGGACCTGATGATGCTCAGTTGAAGAGTTTTTGTTGTTTCATAAATGATGATGGTATCATTAGAATACAAACCAAGGTTTCTGAGAGGATGGACTTTCCTGATTGCTGATATCCAACGATTCTACCATCCAATCATCCCATCGTGAGTAAACTGTTTCACGTTGGTGTTCAGGGTTTGCTCAGTTTTCTGCGAGAAAGATTTTGGATCATAAGAGGAAGAAAAGTAGTGAGATCTGTAATCTCAAAGTGTACGATATGCCGTAGATTCAATGCCAAACATTTAGAAGTTCCACCTGTGTCGCTGACTGAAAATAGAGTACGACAAGCTCACATATTTGAAGTCATAGGTGTAGATTTGGCTAGTCCCCTTTACATTCGAAATGAGGACAAGGTATGGATATGCCTGTTTACTTGTGCCATTTATCAAGCTGTTCATTTAGAACTCTTGTCGTCTCTGTCCACAGATGGCTTTCTGCAATCATTCAGAAGATTTGTGGCGAGAAGAGGGAGACCGTCGACTGTATACAGCGATAATTGCACGAATTTTGTTGGTGCCGACAATGCTTTCTCACAGTTGGATTGGAAAATGATTAATGAGTACAGTACTGTGGAGAGAATAGATTGAAAATACAATCCTCCAACGGCTTCTTGGTGGGGTGGACGGTGGGAGAGGTTGATCAAAATCATCAAAGATCTCCTCCGGAAAATGTTGGGACGAGCCAGTCTCACCTACCAGGAATTATCGACTATTATATGTGATTGCGAATCTATCGTGAATTCGAAACCGATCACATATGTGCATAAAGATAGCCGAGATCTTGTTCCACTGACTCCTGCTATGTTTACAAAAGAGATTCTGGAATGTGGAGTTCCAAATTTAGATGCCGTGGAGAGGCCGGATTTGAAGAAGCATTTAAGATACAGGATGAAACTGAAGGATGATCTTCGAAGACGATTCAGAAATGAATATTTAGGACAACTGAAACTATCTGCTAAAAAGCATTCCGAGAGAGAAATCAAAGTTGGTGATATTGTTTTGATAGGTGCTGATAACTCAAAAAGGTTAGATTGGCCTCTAGCTTATGTTGAAGAATTAATACCTGGTCGAGACAGTAAAACTAGATTGGTAAAATTGAAGACTGCTAAAGGATCAATGCTGAGACCTCTACAAAGAATTCATCCTTTAGAATTGAATTGCAGCAATGATTTAGATCTATCTTCCACTCCAGAAAAGAGGGACACTGAAGAGAAGACTCATAGTGAAGACATTGATCATGATAGGGAAGAAGAAGATAAAGAAGATCATGAAAGCTTTGAAGTACAACCAATCACCACAAGATATGGAAGGACCGTCAAACCTGTCCAAAAATTTTCTATTTAGTGGATTGAGTTGTTGAACTGAGTATACAAAAACTCAAGGTGGGAGGATGTTACAGATAATGGAACCATATTCACGCTGTATATAGTTGAATTTTTATTTACTCTGTATGTTTCCAGTTTGATGTGTATTGTCAAGTTTGTCATTGATTAATTCTATAAAAAGTCATATCTGATTGAGCTTCTTTTTCTGATTATACCACGATACATTAGTATTTTCACTATTCTGACCCATATTTCATCCTTCATACGAAGTATTCAATCACCGGGTAGGTGAATTACGAATATTTAACAGCAAGTGATAATATATATTTGCTATCAACCCTTACCAGTTAATCCGTTACACCGTATATATTTTAATGAAAATATTGTGCCTATTTTCGTAAAATGAAGATTTATCGACGAGCAGAGGTGTAGAATATTCATATTAATAATTGCAATAATGCAGTGCACGGTGATTCATTTTTCGATGAGCTTAGTTGAAGCATACCATTGAATAATGTTGATAAGATAACCTAATTACCACTGTTTGATGAGAATCTTTACTAGAGCAGAGAAATATTGGTATAACTGTTGGAGATAAGCTGAATGACAATAACATGTGGAAATGTCATATTCAAGTCAAATATCAGATAACTACAATGAAATAACGACGAACAACTGAACTACCTCAAGTTGGTTGCGCTTGAAATAAAAACAAGCTGTTTTATGATTATTCTGTGATAACCACCATAGATGGAATGAATCCTCACCACTATTATAGAATTGATTAGCTATACTGCAACATTCATATTCATATCCATATTCTGGTAGTGAATCAGCACATTTGTTCCCTATTCATTGCAGATATCGTGAAAACGGTTATCAGATTTACAAATATGATAACTCAAGATATCTCTCAGTGTGCTTCAACCATCAATTGGCAGTGGCATAATATACTGGCAAGCAACAGTAGCATACCTAGTTGACAAGATATTGATATCAAACCAAGAATAAACCAGCTCCATGTGAGTACCTGAATACTACTTATTTATCTATCGGGTGTAACATGGAGAAGTTTTACGGTTTTGAAAGGATTTTGTCTAGCATCATACACCTGTCGATGGATGAGTACCTACATCAGAATAGTGCACACTTGAACGAAAAAACGGCAATGAAATTGAAATCAATATTATCAGAGGTTGGGATGTCACATAATATGTCGTATCATTGGATTCAGAAAATGATGTAGAATTCGAGATCACGAAAATCAAGAATTATTAACCGTTTTGTCCCCTTGTCAACTGAGTAATCATTTTTGTATTCAGTTGTATTGAGAACATAATATGATGCCATTTGAAAAAAAATTGACAGTTGCTGACGATAAATTTGGAAAAATAATGATCAGAGCCTACTTGTAGTATCTGAAGTGTCATTTCGTTTGCCTTCTTATTCTCAAAATTAGAAAACTAATAGTAGCGCTATGGTTTGAAGATGTCTTTGCCAGTCAGCCTGTATGATTAAAACCCAAGATTGAGTGCCTAGGACAATTACAGGGTGTCCTGAAAACATATAGGTAGGAAATTACACATGCAGATTCTGGTAACTAAAATGGTACAGCTATTTGACGCAGGGCCCGAGATGAAGTTTTTCTGTGCATATTCTAGTGACCTTGATAAAATACCCAAATTCTGCCCATTAACCTAAAACTATGCTCAATTTGAAAATGTTGAGAATAATTCGAAACTTTGATTAGGGGCGTGAGAAATAGAAGGAACTAGGGGTACTACTATCGAAAAATGCGGCCATGCCGAAAGTAGTGGTTGTTTGAGTTCGCACTATAAACAAGGGAAAGTTGCTGGGTCACGATTGCCTACCAACAGTTGCCACACATTGTTTCTATCATTCTGGCTTCCAACGCACCACTGTGCACATGACGCGATATTTGCGAGATAAATGTTTCTCGACGAATATTTTTACTAAAAAAAGAAGTAGAGTTACGTCAGATTGTTCAGAAAAAGAATTGTCCTTTCTTATGCACAAAGTACCATTCTTGTATCACTTCATTATATAGGAAGCCAGAATGATGGATGTAGTGTTGGTGATGAGTCACATAATGGTTACATGTCACATGATCACAAGATGAAAAAAAAACAAGATATTTGAGTCACGAAGTCACGAGTTACAATATCACAAAGTACAAACAAATCATCTCTGTTGATAGTTGATATAAGATATCCTAATATTTTTAGAATTTGAAATATTCCTTTCACAAGTTTCTTAACCGTGTCCCTGAATTAGAAGAGATGTCTTTGTTTTCTGGAGTACAACAAGGATCCCCAGTGGAAGCTTTTGCCTTGACGAAGGCTTATAATGAAGATATTTTCAAAGACAAAGTGAATTTAGGAGCTGGAGGTAAGGTTAATCGGCTCAGCCGAACTGTTATTTCCAATAATCCAGAATGTTATCTTTCCATATTCAGTATATCGTACAGCAGAAGGAAAACCATGGGTTCTACCAGTAGTCAGGACAGTTGAAAAGGCATTAGCAAATGATGACATACTCAATAAGGAATATTTACCCATTTTGGGAATGGAATCCTTCAGCTTAGCTGCTACCAGGATGCTTTTGGGTGATGATAATCCAGCTCTACTACAAAATAGGGTATTCAATCTATTACATGAGCATATCAATTGAAAACAAATTCGTTTATATCGTCTTGATTTCCAGACCTTTGGTATCCACACTCTATCTGGTACAGGATCATTGAGAGTAGCAGCTGAATTTCTCGCCCAAGTTTTAGGAAAGAAAATTTTCTATTATTCCAATCCTACATGGGGTACTCTTGAAATCGAAACACATTCTCTTGACTCATAACTTTCATTCGCAGATAACCACGAATTAGTTTTCAAGACTGCTGGCTTTGAGGAAGGAAGGAAGTACCGTTATTGGAACAATGCTACTCGTGGATTAGATTTTGATGGACTCATCGAAGATTTGAGAAATGCTCCTGAGTATTCTGTCATTATACTACATGCTTGTGCTCACAATCCAACAGGTATCACTCAATCTTCAATATTATAGAATAGGTACCTATGAATATATCATTTTCATGTCTATATTCGCATTGACATTCAACATCTTTCAAGTTATTGAAATGCAATCAGTTCATTGTTCCCTGACAACACAATTCACAACAGTTGTATCTATGTTAACAACGAAATTTTTTCAGTGTTCCAATCTCAAATCTAATATTATACTATAATACTCAAAATTAAAAATTATTAATTGTCTTGACGCAGGTTGTGATCCATCTACTAGCCAATGGGCACAGATTGCACAAGTTATGAAGGAAAGGAACCTATTTCCATTATTTGACTGTGCCTATCAAGGTTTTGCTTCTGGGGATTTGGTCAAAGATGCTTTTGCTGTACGTTATTTTGTGCAGCAAGGCTTTGAACTCTTCTGTGCACAGAGTTTTGCTAAGAATTTTGGACTCTACAGTAAGTTGTCATACTGGTCATTACAATGTCATCCTTGATATCTATATTCTACTATTGATATTCAACTCTAATTCCAACCTGTAGTTATCATAACAAAACAAGTTGATCGTGTTATTTCTCTTGATGGTTGTTCTTTTTCAGGTGAACGTGTGGGAAATCTAACAGTTGTATTGAATAGCCCTGATCTAATAGCACCTGTGAAATCACAGTTTACTATTGTAGTCAGAGGAATGTACTCGAATCCGCCAATTCATGGTGCAAGGATAGTTACCCATGTTTTGAACAATGCTGAATTATACAATCAATGGTAGGATAATTCCTTCACCGTTCGAAATATCACTCCTTCCTTCAGAAAACGGAAAAAGATTTCTTGACACGTTCGCTACCAATATCTCAAAAACTTTGATACCCAGGTAACCGGATTTTCATCCTTCATTCTGAGTTGAAATCACATAAATTGGGCAATAAATTCATGAAGTGAACATTCGGATGTAGAAAGACAACATAAAAATGAAAATCTTCTGAAATTGAGAATTGACATTCTCCTCCAAATCGGATAAAAATAATAATATGTTGTGTTTTAATTGAGATGAATGGATCTCCAGTGGGAAGCAGGGAATCAAATGATATACAATTATACCTTTAATAGAATTGATAAATGTGACAATACATCAATGGATTAATTATGACATTTCCGATGACATTCAACTACTTGAATATACTACATGTTTCAAAATACTTCACAACACCCTCCCTATTTGGGACAAGTCCTTGGCGAACCAAACATGTACGAAATTTATCACCATTCAAAGATTTCTTGAAAGAATCCGCTACCATATCTTGTGTTGGAACATGATGCAACTTTATTTCTTGACGGAGAATACGTTCCCGTATGAAATGATGTCGCACATCAATGTGCTTAGTTCGAGCCTGATAAGCACCATTTTGAGCCAAGTTCTGAGCGCCTTGGTTATCAACATTGAGTATAGTTGGCTGTTTGGCAGTAGCAAAAAATAATTCACTAGCAAGGCCTCGGAGCCAGAGTGCTTCCTGTATCGCTGCTGACATAGCCATATACTCAGCTTCAGTAGTTGACAGAGCTATGGTAGGCTGACGCTTAGTGGCCCACGAGATAGGTGAGTTATTCTTCAGGAAGATGTAGCCGGTGACACTACGTCGCTCATCTTCGTCACTTGCCCAATCTGAGTCACTATATCCAGTAATATCACTGATGTTCGTGTCCCTACCATGCGCATGATACGCTTCACGGCTGTCCAATGTGCCTTTCCAGGATTCTGATTGAAGCGACTCACATAACTAACCGCAAAATTGACATCTGGCCGAGAAACTTGAGCGACAAAAAGAAGACTGCCAACGGCTTCTTGATAGGGGACAGATCTCATCTTGGTTATTTCATCTGGAGTTTTGGGTGCTTGTTCTCTGGATAACTTCTCACTAGGAGAAATTGGCGTATCCGCGGGATTACAATCGAGCATGTTGAACCTTTTCAATACATCTTCTATATAAATTTGCTGGTCAATCCAAATCTTCTGATTAGCTCGATCACGCGTGATCCGGAATCCTAGGATAGATTTTGCCTCCCCCATGTCGACCATCTTGAAACTTTTCATTAATCGGGTTTTCAGGTTATCCTTGAACGATTTATCGTTCGAAAATAACAAAAGATCGTCGACATATACGGCCACTATCGAAATTTTATTATCTGAAATATGATAGTATATGCAAGAATCAAATTTGGATTTCCGGAGCTTGCAATTTTTTAAAACACTGTCAAGCTTCAAATTCCGAACTCTACTTGCCTGTTCAAGACCATATATACTCTTTTTCAGCCTGCATACTTTATTTGAGTCTGATGCATAGAGTTCAGGCTGGAGCATGTAAATTTCCTCTGTAAGATCACCCTGGAGGAAAGCTGTTACCGCATCCATCTGCTCTATGTCAAGGTTGTACTGAGCAGCTAAGACCAGGAGATATCTGATGGAGCTGTATCGGATTACTGGAGAATACGTCTCTTCGTAATCTACCCCTCTCTTTTGGCCACAACCTTTAACAACCAGTCGTGCTTTATAGTGTGTTATTTTCCCAGAGGCATCCTTCTTGATTTTAAAAACCCATTTGCTTCTCAGAGGTTTTCGATCTTCAGGGAGATCCACCAATTCCCATGTGCCATTGTCCATCTGGGCTTCGTATTCTCGATCCATCGCCTTGAGCCAGTTTTCTTTGTCTGGGCTTGCCAGCACTTCCTCGACAGAAGTTGGATTGTTGGAATTTTCAGCAAAAGCCAAATAACTCACATAATTATCGTGGGCCTGTGGTGGTCTTCTAATTCGGTCTCCTGTTCGCAAATTTTGTTCAGGAAGATTTGTAATTTGCCTTGATGAATCTGGATCAGGATGATCATCTTCATGATTTGAGTGTTCCTCGTCAGTGAAATCAAAAAATTCTAAGTCAGAACGATCATCACTTTCTTCTGTAGATGCATTTCCAACAGACGGATTTGAATTCCATTCGATATCCGGTTCAGGAAAGTAAAATGATGTATTTTCCTCAGAAGATTTCTTTAAAAGTGAATTTCCTTTCTCGTTCTCAGAGAAAATCACATCTCTCGATACTATGACAGTTTTGAGTTCAGGATCATACAATCTATAGGCTTTGGAATTAAGACTATATCCAACAAAAATGGAAGGTTTCGATTTCGGATCAAGTTTCTTCCTTTTCGCATCAGGTATATGTGCATATACTTTGCATCCAAAAATGCGAGCGTGCGCTACAGTAGGTTTCACTCCTGACCAAATCTCCTCCGGAGTCTTCTCGACACATGAACTTGGGGACCGATTGATTAAGTAAACAGTGGTGTAGGCAGCCTCAGCCCAAAAACTATTTGGAAGTCCTGATTCACTCAAAAGACATCGAGTACGTTCCATTATTGAACGGTTGAGACGCTCAGCCTTGCCATTTTGTTCGGGTGTATACGGTACACTGGTCTGATGCTCAATTCCTGCTGAACTAAGAAAATCATCAAATCTCTTGGAACAATACTCTCCACCATTGTCTGTTCTAAGAATCTGAATTCTGTGGCCTGTTTGATTCTCCACAAAATTTTTGAACTCGACAAAACGTTCGAAAACTTGATCTTTTGTCTTTAGAAAATAACAAAATGTTTCATGACTAAAATCGTCCAAGAACGTCAACATATATTTTGAACCTGCCAGGGAACATTCAACAGGACCCATAACATCAGAATGAATGATCTGCAGCAACCTGGATGTCTTGGTGGTACTTTCACTGAAAGGTAATCGGTGACTCTTACTGGTAGCACAAATTTCACACACAAATCCTTTGGGAATTTTCTCAGGGAATTTCATGCCATGTACTAAACCATCTCTGAGCTTATTCAAATTGGAGAAATTCACATGTCCCATACGTTTATGCCATAATAACGCACTTTGAGGCATTTCAGAACGTGTCAGCATTGCAGTTTCGGAGGGCTTATCAATTTTGAAAAGATTATTTTGCAAGGTTGCGGTTGCAATAACTTTTCCTTGAACATTTATGATCTGAGCTCCTCGTGAATGAAATATGACTCTATTTCCTTTTTGAACAATCTGGCTCACGGAAAGAAGATTGACTTTCAAATCGGGGACATAATAAACATTTTCGACGTTTACATCAAAATTTCGATCAGAAACTCTTACGGGTAACTGAATATCACCAACACAGTTTGTTTCCATTTTCTGATCATTTGCAGTTGTGATGGTTAACTTTGACGATGTTTTCTCACTGATAAAATTTGATTTATCCACAGTCAGATGAGCGGAACACCCAGAGTCGAGAAACCAGTCATTTCCATCAGTTGATTTGACGTGAGCTGACAAAGCTGTGAACATCGTATATTCTGATTTGTCATTCTTTTGAAAAACCTGTTTCTTCGGAACATTCGCAACACAATTTTTCGCTATATGTCCATCATATTTATTGCATTTATAACAACGTGGTCCTTTGCCTGTTCGTTTAGAATTATTCCTAGTACACGAAGAACTACTGGCGATGACATGTTTATATTCACGGTTCCGATCTGTGCCAGAATCCGAACTATTTTTGTTTCCGTACCCAAACATTGCGGAACCTTTTTCGGATTTTCCAACAGATATGTCTTGCAATAACTTAGATTTTATTGCATCGGCGGTCACTTTAATACCAGAGCTTTCGATTCCCATTATCATGGGTTTATACTGATTAGAAAGACCGGCTAAAAGGATAGCACCAACCCATTCATCGGAAACTTTCATGTCGATGCAGTTGAGCTTGTAAGCTGTTTGAATGATCTTATTCACGTATTCTTCGACACTTGCACAATCTTCAAGACGAGTACTGATCAAATTTCGCAACAAACCGACTTTTCTCGTGAGACCAGTGTCTTCAAAGGCCTTTTCAAGGTTTTGCCAAGCTTCTTTGGCAGTTTTCGTTTCTTGAACGTGAATATACAACACGGGATCAACCAACAAGATGAGCTTCGAACGGGCTTTCGTGTCCATTTTTCTATCATTTGACACACCAGAAACACTTTCCCACAAATCCTGATCTTCGAGATAGGCTCTAACACCGACCTTCCACGCGTCGTAATTTTCCCTCCCTTTTAGTTTCTCGATCGGAGGTAACTGATATGACATTTTTGATCGGGTTCAGGTCTGAGCTTACTCCTGAGATTTTCAATATTTCAAGCACTTGAATCTGGGCCCATAACCAATTGAGATGAATGGATCTCCAGTGGGAAGCAGGGAATCAAATGATATACAATTATACCTTTAATAGAATTGATAAATGTGACAATACATCAATGAATTAATTATGACATTTCCGATGACATTCAACTACTTGAATATACTACATGTTCCAAATTACTTCACAGCAGTTTTGATATCAAATAATTATAAGTCACCAATTAATTCTGTATTTAAATAGGAATTGAAATGAATAGGAGAAGTATATTTATGTAAACAATGATCTTGATGAGCTTGAAACTTACAAAAAATCATTCATATCAGTGTAATGGAAATAATATCTCTCACGAACAGGTTATATGACCCAGTTATTCATTTATTCCATGGACGGTTTATACGTCCATGATTTAGTCATTCTTCATAAAATACACAATCTTCACCTCTCTATACAGGGTGTTCGACCGACAACGCTTGACAGGTGATAGCCCTCGTGATTTCATGATCACTGAGATAGGGACATACGGACTTCAAGTGTTCATTTCTCGAGATACAGGGCGTTAAAGTTAAGAAATAAAAATAGTTGTTTCGCAATATCTCAATAAAAATTGAATATAATGCATTCAACTTCGGTATATGGTTTCATCTTTGAACGGGTCATTTTTTGACCAGGAAGCCATTCTGGATATTTTATCCAGTGGTGCCCTACAGGGGGTTGTGGCAACCTTTCCCCCCATATTTTCTACGCCACTGATTAAATTTCAATCATTTCCAATTCCACGAATTCATTGTTCAATTTTGTTCAAAAAATTCATCACCATCAACTGAGCTGAAATGAACAGTTTTCGAGAAATTCGACCCAAAATAGAAGATTGCATAGTAATATTTCATCATTTTCAGTAGTAGAAAATTGCAAAAATATTTTTCTGGTGTTGAGTAGATTAGATACTATTCAGATATCATTCTGTAGCTGAACAGAAATAGTTATTCCACGCATAAAGAGACAACAAAAATTTTCGTAATCTTCTACTACTGAGGAAAATGGAAAATTACTATGCAAACTTATATTTTGGGTCAAATTTCTCGACAACTGTTCATTTCATTTAGTTGAAGGTGATGCAATTTTTTAACATAATTGAACAATCAATTCGAGAAATTGGAAAAAATCGAAATTTCATCAGTGGCATAAAAAATATGGTAGGAAAATTTATCACAACCCTCTGTAGCGCACCTCTGGAAAAAATTCTCGGAATGTCTTCCTGGTCAAAAAATTAACCATTAAAAAATGAAACCATGCACCGAATTTGAATGCATTATATTCAATTCTTTTTGGGATATTGCAAAAAAACTATTTTAATTTCTTAAGTTCAACGCCCTGTATCTCGAGATCTGAACACTTGAAGACCGTATGTCCATATCTCAGTGATTATGAAATCACGAGGGCTATCACCTGTCAAACGTTGTCGGTCGAATTTCGCAACACCCTGTATATTATAACTAAAACCATAACGAACTGACATCTGGAAATTATTATCTGTTGACTCCTGTCATCTGGGTGCTTTTATTTTCAGATATTGATATTCATCATACAGGACGTGGAAAAAATGCTGATTTGAGAAAGCCCAATAACGATTATGTGATTAGAGCTCTATGAATATTTGAAAATGAAATCTTCTGAAGTTGAGAATCTACATTCTCCTTGCCGAAAGAATTCTCAATGTTTATATGTATACATATATATATCTATATAGATGTGAGAGGGTAGTCGTTGCTGACTAATCAGAGGTAGAACTAAGTTTGGAGGATTAGTGAATCTCTTCTGCTCTTTCAGGTTTTTTTGTTTTTTGGCTGAATATAGCAGATTTCACATTGTGGCTATGGCACTTTTTCGATCTATCAATTTTACACTAATATTCAGTCATGAAATAATGATTGAAAGAGAATAAGATTGAACTCAACCTACTACATCACCAGTATTCTTCCCTCAAATGATGATTTTTTCACATTCTCCACATTTTTAACATTTTACAAATTACCTAATCTCACACAATTGTGATTGATCTTGTTTTTTGTTCGTCTTCTCAACTATGTCATTATCGTTTTATACAATATTATTACTAACATTAATGTGGACCAACTCCAACAAAGATGTAAGTGAAATTTTTCTTGCTATAATTAATTTGACCTAATGTAAAATTGTTGAAGTAGCCCTGATGATGTAAATATAAGATTCCGGAAGCTTGGACAAACTTTGGAGAGTACTCTCCTCACTTTGCTGCATTCCCAATAAACCCAGTTTTGAATCTATATATAGAAATATATATCCATTTTTCCATATGTCTGATAATATTCCTTTTCGATTCTTCCATACCCACAACAAGAGATTCAAACTTGAACGATGAAAACTTGTTATTTTTATTGACCTTCAATCACAGATCGTGATCGGGTTTTCCCAAATCAGAATTTCCTCTTACGTCCTTGTATGATGATTATTACATCCAAAAGTTCATGATATATCTGAGAATATTTTATTCCTTTCCATCCCCAATCAAGGGGTTCACACTTGAACGATTGGGTTTCCTCAATTCTGAATTTTTTTCCACGCCCCTGTATGATGAATATCAATTTGTCACACATCCCAACTGAAGACACACTCACATTACTCAATTTGACTAAAAATAATCTCTGAAGCAGTCAGTCAAAAATACTTATCTAACATTTTCAGGCAAGATCACATCAAAACCATGTCCTCGAGGATTATCGATATGAGAAAACAGTTGAGAGAAACTTTGGAACATTTGAAAACTCCTGGTGATTGGAGCCATCTTACACAACATATTGGAATGTTTTCTTACACTGGCTTGAGCGGTAGGTTTTCTCAAGAAACACAGTTATATGCAAATAATATCCAATAATCAAATTGAACTCCCCTGTAGTGAACGAAGCAGCTTTTGTCTGATCATTCCATTCAGTTTCCTTCAATCATATGTATGATTTCATGCTGCCACCTCATCAAGTGATCAAATTTGACAGACGATATAGTTTTTTAGTTTGAGAATATTTTGAACTCATTCACATTCACCACTTCAACTATATTTCCTCGTCGTAGACGAAAATAGTGTACACAACTCTTTTGAATGTGCATTTCCTGAGCTCGTTTTGTTTCCGCACTCGTCGAGGTGACTCGTGCTATACGTCCACTCGCGCGAAATATGTTCACATTCCACACTAGCTATACAATACACATCCTGCTGGCTTGTTAATGAAAGAAATGATCGACGTTACTGTACTGTCGAATATTGATGATTCTGAAGGGAAAAACATACACAATTGATGAGAGAAAAATTCAGCGTAGTCGGTTGAATTTCGTAGCACCGTGGTAAAAGCTTGATATTCTTCATTTTCTTTTATAATTTTCAGAGAAACAGTCTCTCCATATGGTTAAGAAACATCACATCTACATGTTGAGGTCAGGACGTATTAGCATGTGTGGACTCACACCTAAAAATGTGGAATATGTAGCTAAAGCTATTCATGAAACTGTTTGTTCAATTCCCAACAATTGAGAGAATGTATTAAACCTATGTTCACCATAATACTTGTTGAATTATAAAATTGGATTACACTTTCATTTCTTGTTTTCATTAGTTTTTTTCTATTCTCATCGAACCTCGTTCCCTTCACCTAAATTCAATCAGTCAACGTTACTACTGTTTTGTACCGCCCAGAGAGCACCAGATATTCCATGAATATTCATAGAATATTATTTTTAGAAAAATGTATATATTCCCATAGAATATTCACGAGGAATATTCTCCATTTATTCAGAAAGTACCTACGATATTCTAGAAATATCCAGATAATATTCGGAATAAACCAGAGATAGTACAGGATATTCATAATTAGAAAATGCTGACCCAATCCGAACTGGAATACTCTTGGAATATACGATATAGTGGATGGCTGTTTCCACCATGTCACAACAAAAGAGTTAAAGGGTTGTTTTCACCATATCGATTTATAAGGGGTTTTGCTTGGCTAAATATTCTGCGAGAGGTATTATTCAAATATAGGCACTAATAGTTTAAAGGTAACTGAAAGTACGAGACTACATTCAAACATAACAATATTTATAATAGCATGAAACATTATGGGTAGCGATAACAATTATGAATAAACAACAATGAATATAAAGACCTAATAACAACTTACATTATAATGACCATTACGACGAGCTCTTGTCAAGTCAAGAGTAGCCCCAGACCAGACTAACTTCGGAACCCTCACATCCAATATTTATATACAACATTTTATTGGATATGCACGTTTCTCATGAGTGTTCCTTGGTCAGTTTTTATAATTCAATGTCAACGGATGATTTGATTTACTTTATGTTTATAAAACCCTCATGGTTCGAAATAACTGATATACCGTATGTTCTACTCGTGACATGACCCCTCTCTCCGAGAAAACTGGACCCCAGTTTTTAAATTACTACCTACCTAAATATATCGAGGAGAACATTCAAAATTAATTTGCATATTGTACAAAAAGTTTCAGAAAAAAAAATATTCACAAACATTCATAGTTTAGTGTCTACAATGCACACTCACACCTTTACTAAGTCCGGCACTGGCTATTCAACAAAAGCATTTCAATCAGACTCTTCTCGGTGAGACTCCTGGCAGCTTGGGGGTAGGGAATGACGATTGGGCATGGCATCCTCCAATCGTCATGGGAATTTCGGCAGGATCCTTTTGGGCTCGAAGGTATCCTTGTCCTGGGCATCGGGATGAAATCTTTTGGGCTTTAAGATTTCCTAGACTGTCATTCGAGGTAGTTGGCAGCTGAACGAAGGGAACTGCTGGCTTCTTGGGGTAGCGACTGACGACTGATGGTCATGGCATCCTTCCATCGTCGTGGGAATTTTGGCGGGATCCTTTTTGGGCTCGAAAGGTATCCTCGTCCTGGGCATAAGGGTGGAATCTTTCGGGCTCTAAGATTCCTTCAAGGTTTCTAGCAGCTGAACGATAGGAAATGATGGCTGTTGGCAGTTGCTGTCATGACGGCACATCATCTTGGTCTATTCGTCTCAATGAAGCTAGTAGACGTCCATGGGTGACGAATTCCCGTCATATCAGAGGCTGATCAGGCACCTCGTGGAACGAATTTCGTGGTGTTCCAACGTCAACCTTCTAGCAGCTATCTACAACTTGAAGCATTCCCACTTGTCACCTCTTCGTTCCTGGGCTACCCAGCAACTACCATCGAATCACGCTGTACAGTCAAACGGTCCTTGGTTTGTCCATGTTTGGCCATTTGGCTGCGTGGCTGCATCCCCCTGGGTGTCTGATTTCTTGTTGAGTGTTGTATGCCAGTGCTCAGTGTGCGTGCATTGTTCCATGTGAACATGCAAGGAAAAATTGATTGTTAAATGCTTACGTTACTATTAACATTGAAATGAGGAATTGTTCAATAACTCTATTATTATTCAATAAATAGTTCGAATTACCTATACTAGAATATGATTAGGTTATTGGGAGATCGATTATATATATCTACTTCATTTCAACTTCATAAATCCTTCCTAATTTTAATTGATTTTTTTTTTATGAATTTAGATAATAGAAGTACTTCAACTACATCATAAGTTTTTAGAACTATGTTATTTTCAAGAAATCATAAATAACTATATAATATTTTGAAACTTATCATTAATGTTCGATTTTCATAATATAATAATATATGTATCTACCTTTTCTATGTTATTTGGAGCGTTATTCATTATTAAACCTATTTGTATATGAAATGTTACATCATCAACTTGTAACTTGAACCAAGTGTCAAGTTCATGATTATTTACATAATCGAGTTTGAAGATGGCCAGCTATTTAATTTTATTACTACTAGTAACCTAGTTTGCAATATTATGAAATATAAGAATTGGTGAAAAGTTATTGTTCATTTCAGGGAAATCTGAACTGTGTCTTTCCTTCTGAGAAAAAAAAGCATTGCAAATAGTTTCGTGCTTTAAAATTAACTGATCGAGTGAATAATTAAAAAATTTCTTATAAGTCACCAATCTACTTGTATATTTCCTATTCACGCGAAATTATCATAAATTTCTTATTTATAGGTTCTATATTCGATTCACCTAGTAACTCAGTAATTTGAATTTTGAATCATTTTGGCGGTGAGTTCTCTACTTTGAAATCGAAAATAAGAATGAATTACCAGTTTTGCTAATTGAAAGTTATTCAAATCAACAAGCGCGTTACTTGAAAAAATGATAAAATATTAACTTGTGTCATGTAAACAAACCAACGTGCCTTTTCGTTGCAAAATGCCATTAAAAAAAATTACCTATTTGATAAAAAGTTAATCGAAACTGTTATCATGTTATTTCATACATATTGATCATTTTTGACATTCCAGGTCCAATCCGTAAGATTTAAAAGGATATTCATCTGACAACTCATTATTGGCAGCTTGAATAAACTGATGAACCGTCCGAGAATAGGTACTTTCATGTACTTTGAGCAATATTTTGACTCAAGGTACCTTGAGATTATTTTTTGTTTAATATGAAATATTATCAGAACTTTATTCGATTTATTTATTTATCTTTGGTGTAACCGGTTCAACGAATGTATTGGCGTTTATTCAATTTAAAAAAAATTAATTCCCCTATTCACCATGTTTCGATGAATTCAAGTAGGAAGATAGTTTATTATATGAAAATTGAAAGATATGTTGAGATATTTTATCACTTATACATTATTGAACTGATTGAAAATACTCCTTTTGAATACCGCCTGCTCATTCCTCCAATTTTAGTGAAACTAGACAGTACATTTCTTTGTCTAACAACTCGCAAATATTCTCCATTTTCGGAAAAATCATCCCCGGGGGTAAATATCATTATAATCATCTTCATAATTCATAAATATACATAATCATCATATACGAGCTCATTATTTCACATCAAATCATCATTTCATGTCCTATCAATTCGAGGACAAAATATCTTCAGTAAGGTTAATCCTTCATGCCTCAGTGTGGCACATCTTCCAGGATTTCCTCCTATATACTGTTATAGTGCACACTTTCAACTATAACACTTCGTACTTTTTAGAATATCAACCAAACAGCTACTTCTCTGGATGTGGTTTGGCTAGGACCACGAGAGAAGCTGTGATTATTCTGTACGGAAACGGTTAACATTTGTAACCAAGTAACAATCTCTTCATTGAGAGTTTACATACCCATCAATATTCTTGAGCTCAATTAATTCATTTCATATCATATTTCCATAACATAATAATATCATATTTGCGTATAATTCATTTCAGGAGGAATGACAAAAAAATGGTAGACGATACCAACGTTCAAGAGTATTTTCTATATTTGAAAGGTCAGGTTAGGTTATATATACTGACTAAGATATTTTGAATCGAAACATTCTCAACTATTACTTGAATTAATATTTATTTGCATTCGCACTAATATTGAAATTTATTATAAATTATATCGAGCACGATGATTTGTTATTATTGTTTTCATTTCGTATTGTTATAAAACTATAGGCACGTTGTGAATGACTTATTATATTCTCAATTGAGTGTTCATGGCATTGGCATTGCATTTCTTGAATGATTTTATCAACTTAAAATAAAAATATTTGAAATTATCTTGATATGAGAAATAAAAAACTGGCAAGAATGAGATATAGGAAAAACTTGTTCCCAAATTCAAATAGAAAATTACGAGTAGAGAACAAAAAATAACAAAGTTCAGAGATAAGCTCCAAACTTTGTGAGTCTGGTCCGGTGCTTTATATGATTGTTATTCAACTTCTCAAGCTTGATGGTATTTGAAATATTGAAAAAATTTAGGATTTCTAATTTAAATGACTTTCTTACTTTGTTATCACCCATAATTCATGCTGATAAACTGAATTACTTTCAAATAACCCTTTTTACTAGTGCCTTTGTATGAAATATGAAATTGACATAAATCGATAAATGCAAAAAAAAATTGATGAGTCCATTATGAGGAATGAGACTCAAGGAAAGAAGCTTAGGCGCCTCCACCATGTCACAATAAAGAGGTGGAGGCGAGAGGTATTATTCAAATGTCACAACAAACGGCGCCTCCACCATGTCACGATATAGTGGATGGCTGTTTCCACCATGTCACAACAAAAGAGTTAAAGGGTTGTTTTCACCATATCGATTTATAAGGGGTTTTGCTTTGCTAAATATTCTGCGAGAGGTATTATTCAAATATAGGCACTAATAGTTTAAAGGTAACTGAAAGTACGAGACTACATTCAAACATAACAATATTTATAATAGCATGAAACATTATGGGTAGCGATAACAATTATGAATAAACAACAATGAATATAAAGACCTAATAACAACTTACATTATAATGACCATTACGACGAGCTCTTGTCAAGTCAAGAGTAGCCCCAGACCAGACTAACTTCGGAACCCTCACATCCAATATTTATATACAACATTTTATTGGATATGCACGTTTCTCATGAGTGTTCCTTGGTCAGTTTTTATAATTCAATGTCAACGGATGATTTGATTTACTTTATGTTTATAAAACCCTCATGGTTCGAAAT